CCCCGGCGAGTCGTGGGGCGCCAGAGGTCGGCGTCGAGCTGGCTGCCGGCGGCAGCGCAATGACCTGGGCGGCTCAGTCCAGAGGGAGTTCCCCCGTGAGCTTGGGACTCGAGGGCAGGCGGGGGCTGTTCTTCAAAGCCAAGCCCGTCGCTACATCCTCGGACCCCCCCAGGAAGGCCCCCAGAGCTGCCCTCGCGCGCCCTGCTACCAGAAGGTCCACGGCGGCTGCATCATTTCATAGGTCGGGATGCTGGTAACGTTGACGGGGATGGAGATGACGGCCCAGGGGAGCCCGTGCTGCTCCAAGGAGCGTCGGATCATATACCTAGAGACAGACACAGGCAGCGATGGAGGAGGGCTCGGGCCTCAGGCAAGCGCTGGAGCCAGCCAACAGTACAAGGGGACCTCCCGCAGAACAAATACAACCAACCTAGGAACGGATTCCCCAGGGCGGGGGAGAATCTCCACCCCTCGAGGTGTTTAAGTCTCGGCTGGACAACGCCCTGGCTGGGATGATTGAGTTGGGTTGGTCCTGCTTTGGGCAGGACTCGATGACTCCTGAGGTCTCTTCCAGCTCTATGGTTCTATGATTCTAACCCCACTAGCAACCTGACTTATGGGGCCCTGTTCTTGGCTCCCCCTGATCTGGGAGGGAGGTGAGTCACTTCGCCCTTCCCATGAGACCCTCAGCGCCCTGTAGAGTCCGGCTCTAATTTTCGGACAGTCGGCTGCGCTGGCCACTTGCCAGGAGACCGAAGCGGCGCATGATCTGCATACACCACTTCCATGCTTAAGAACCAGGCCAGGCACGGGGGCAGCCCTGTGTGACCGCAGAAGGCTCTTGCTCGCTGGATAAAGAGGGACGGCTGACTGGAGCCCCACAGCGGCTCATAGGCCACCACCTCTGCTCTGAGCACAAGCGTGAGCCTTGATTCTACCTCCCGCTGCTCGACGGGGCACGTCAGTCTCCGCGGAAGGGCTGGGGTGAAGGCCCTGACAAAGATCCGGAGAACATCGGAGATGGTAGAAGCACAGGTGCCCATCTGCACAACGTGGCTGCCTCCCGTACTTGCCCGGGTCCCACGGAGGGCACAACCTGGGAAGAGACGGGCAGGGGGGCACCCCGGGGGAAGAAGTGTCTGCCGTCCGCTTCGTGCTGTCCTGGATCATTTCGACGTAGAAGCTGTCGTTGTCGTAGGCGTTATCGGCGATAATCACCGCCCTCCCGCCGTGCTCCTGGACGACGCGCGTCTTCGACAGGAAGGAACAACCCCTGCCGCAGAAAACAAGGGGGTGTCTCGGAGACCCGTGTGCCGGCTGTCTGGGCAGTGCCAGGCCAACGTGTCCCCCTCCGAAGGCCTCGCCCCCACCTGGCCTACACTTTTATCGCCCATGACAGTGAAGGCAGAAAAGGGCCACAAAACCCAAAGGATTGGAATCGTTCATAACCCCAACAGGCACGTCTCTATCTTTGCTTCACACACGTTACCCAGGGAACCTCCCCAGCGGCCCAGAACCCTCAGTCAGTGAGCAGGCGAGGAACTGGAGACAGAGAGGTGCTGGGATGTGCCCAAGGATGCAGCGAGAATCTGTGTCGGAGCTGGAGTTCGCCTTCCAGGCCTGTGCTTAGACAGACGTTACTGTCTCAGCCTACTTTGTAATTAACCAGCAGACCAGCTTCCTAAAGGCTGGTTTTAAATCAAGCTGGGCTGCTTTGCTCTCCCATCACCGTGGTGCCTTCTGGCTGGGGATCTAGGAAATCAGCCTCCCTAATTCTCTTCTTTTGCTTCCCGGGCTTCAGGCACCTCAGCCATAACCCCCGTGCTTGCAGGGTAACACTCCGCTCCAGGAGCAAGGGAGTGACTGTGCTGCCTTCCAACCCCCCCAAAGCCTTGATCACCGGCCCGTCTGGGACGCTGTCCTGACACTAGCACTAGGTCCGCTATCCTCCCAGAGCACAGCCTGCAAAGCTGCCGGCGTCTGTGCCAACGTGGCTGCGTGCTGGCCGAGAGGCTGGAAGCCGCGGGTCTGCTCCCAGCGGGCAGGAACTCTTTCTGCAGAAAACGCTGATCCAGCATAAGCAGTGCCCTCGCACGGGCCGCCTGCCCCGTGACCCGACGCGTGACTGCCGCAGGCCTCGGCCCACCCGCGCTGCCTTCGAGCGAGCTAAGAACAGCAGCGAAACCTCCTGGCTGCAGTGTAGACGGACCCTCCGAGGCTCAGCAGCAAGGCCAGGGCTGAAGGGTCCCTGCAAGCCAACTCCCTCCTCCAGCTGGACTCCTGCCGGCTTCAGCCTCCTGCGAACCAAGCAAGCTGGATGCTTTAGGAAAAAGGTCCCAGTGAGTCGGGCCTGTCTGGACCCCACGGCTGCTGAGAGCATCCCCGCTCCCTGTGTGAGCAGAGGGGTCTGGATTCCCTCTGGCGGGAAGCCTCGCGGCACCGGGCCCACTGAGGCACACGGCGGCAGGGCCAGGGAGTAGTGGGGTTGGGGGGCAGCGTTGGTCCCTGCTGTGTGTCCTCGAAGAAATCCAGGAGAGCCTGAACCGTTCCTGATGCTACACTCGTCCCCGGGGCAGCTGTGCTGAATGGCCGCTGCCCATGCCGGACAGGGAACAGCCCCGTCCCCATGCCAGCCATCTCCAGCCTCGACTGAGCTGAGAGGTTTCCTCCTTGGCAGGCCCCCTGGGTCCACGGGCCTGGGAGGCTCACGCCGCCCATTCCATGGCCCCAAAGGTCTCCCGAGAAGGGATGAGGTCCCAAACACTGCCCTAGACGAACCTCAGAGCAGTCAGAGGATTCCCCGGGGGAGAGCCAGAGGACTGGCCTGTTTCCTTTATAATTAAACAACAGGAGCTGCCTTCCTTCTGGTACCTCGCTCTCCAGTGGGGTGGGCAGTGAGCGGCTCACAGGCTGGCTACGGTTCACCAGGGTTAGCCCCGGGGGGCTGCCGGCGCTTTATTTACCTGCATGTCTACAGCGCAACCTGCAGCCAATGGGAGCAGTGGGAAGCTGGGAACAGCAACCTGCAGCCAATGGGAGCAGTGGGAAGCTGGGAACAGCAACCTGCAGCCAATGGGAGCAGTGGGAAGCTGGGAACAGCAACCTGCGGCCAATAGGAGCTGCGAGCGGCTGTACCTGCGGATGTGCAGGTAAAGAAAGCGCCAGCAGCCCGCCAGGAGCTAACCCCGGTGAGCCACGTCCTCGCTTACTGCCCATCCCAGCTCTGCCCATGTACGACACTGGGGAAGGCTGTCAGCTTGTCAGACTAGTCTCCCATCCCCTCACTTTCTAATCACCTGGTTCAAGTGTTGACTGCAAAGAGAAAATGACCAGCATGTAAAACTCCCCAGGTGGACTCACTATCCTGGGCTAACAGCATCCACCCAAGGAGATTTCTTGGCACAGCTATGCAGCTACCAGTCCAGCAGGAGAGCTACCGCAGGAATATTCTCCACTCCTCTCAGAGGACTATGATAAAAAAGAACAGGAGCCAAAATTGGCCCAGGGACTGTTCCACAGGCAGGTGTTCTGCCCGGCCAGATTTTCTTCTGCCCGATCTCTTGGGTGGAAAAAAACCCAGCCCACCCACTCCCGGCACACTGCTGTTCCAGAATCGCACTATAAATAGCTCCCTCCTTCCTCGGTAAAACAGATCTGTCATCAAACCTACCCACGCTCCACCAGGGCGATCTGATCTTGGATGAAGACGCCATTGTGTAGCTCCCCACATGCCTCCGGAGGATCTGCCGGGACCAGGTGTATCTGCTCATATCTCGTGTTCTCAGAGAGGAGAAAAGAAAAACACACCGGGAATAAGAGGGCAGCATTAGCAGGGCTGGGTGTGCTGATGTAGATCTATTCTGGGGTCTGCAGCTACCGGCTTTACTTGTCCTGGTTCAATATACCTTCCTATCTTGCAGGGATGTTGGGAGGGTTATACCGTTAACGTTTGCAAGGTGCGCTGAGATTACAAAGTGGCACCACTAGCACACACACAGATGAAGAAGTGGGTTTTGCTCACAAAAGCTCACGACACTTCCTCTATTTTTGTTAAGTCTCGAAGGTGCTACAGGACTACTTGTTGTTTTTAAAGTTACAGACTAACATGGCTCCCCCTGCGAGCCCTTTAATACACAAAGGCTATGTCTACATGACGTGTTTGTGCAGAAGAGGCAATGCAAATGAAGCACTCATTAGCATTTTCTCATGCTTCATTTGCATAATCTCTGCTGCTCCTTTTTGAGGAAGAGGTTTTTGTGCCAAAAAAAAAAGAAAAAAAGGGCAGTGTAGATGGGTCCGTTTTGCACAAAAAAACCCTTTGCGCAAGATCGTGTATATCTCCTTTTTTGAGGCATGTGATCTTGTGTAAAAGGGGTTTCTTTTCCGCAAAACGGATCCGTCTAGACTACTTTTTTTTTGGCACAAAAACCTCTTCCTCAAAAAGGAGCAGCAGAGATTATGCAAATGAAGCATGAGAAAATGCTAATGAGTGCTTCATTTGCATTGCCTCTTCCGCAAAAAAACACAGTGTAGACATAACCAGATAGTATTGCTAGTCGCCCATTGGCCATCCCCTCCCGACCTCTATCTTGTAGAAGTACTAGTAACTGTTTAAGCAGTTCCAGTATTTCTCTTCTGCTTGGATCTGCTTTTCAGACCATGGGACCTCATTCCTTTGGCACGTGCTAGACTGAGCGGAAACTGCCGAGGGCCCGAGAGAAGGTACATGGACTATGGAGATTCTAAAGCAGCGTCATCGGAACGCCTTGGCAAATTCCAAAGTTCCATCGACACACGTTGAGCCAGTTCTCTCTTCCAGCAGTGCAACTGAGCGCCACTTCACCAGTTTCAGTAATAGACACTGTTGTGACTGGGCTCAGAATATGGCCCACTGTTCCTTAGGGGAACCAAATGTAAGGAACGACCAGAACTAATTCCAATGACAACTGGAACACATGAAGATCAAGACTGAAATCACTCCCTGCTGTTGGGGAAAATCTGGTCTGACTCAGATCTGAGCCTCGTACTTACAAACACGCCTCCAAAATCTTTGGCCGGAGTAGCCGTGAAAATGTAGCGGATATCACCAGGACTCAGCACTTGAAAATATAAATATTCATGGACGCGTAAACCTGGGTATTTAAAGAGACAAAATAATAGACAAAGAGGAAGAAATGGAAAAGCTCTTTGGAAAT